CTACTTTTAAATGTACTATATAAATATATGAAAAAACGAACTCATTGCTTAAGGATACAAATATATGAAGAAATCCACCGTTCAGAAGGTTAACAAGCTCTATCACTCTGTATCATGATCTTTTCGCAAGTTCGTTAGTGGGTTCTATTTAAAAAGATAAAAATGACCTTGAAATCTTTGAGAAACATCTTTATTTCACATCGTGTTATAAACGATTCCAAATCACTTAATTTTGCCTGATACAACATTTTTTTCTATTTTCTATCGTTCTGTAACTATAACTCGGTTAATCCTAAAATACTTTTGATACATATAACGTTATGAATTTTTTTTTTTTAAATTACAAAACTGATTCGAGGATGAAAAGATAAAAAATTTATTTTTATTATTAAAAATTCTACTCGTTTTTTAAAAAATATTCGTTTTGATTTTAATGTTCATAAAAGTGTAGCTACTTAAGTTTTACTAAGATTACTAAGTACTTATTAAAATTTATTAAGGTCCACTATATATAAATCTTTGATATTATATTATAAAGTAACTTGCATAAATGAAACATCTTGCCAAGAAATTCATCTAATCCAAAAATCTTGATTTTCACTAAAATTTGTCTATATGTAGAATATAATGAATTAAATATTTATAGATTAGATTCTTTCATTTAATAAAATCCATATTCGAAATTCGAATCATTATGTTTCGAATAAAATGTTGCCTGGAAGTATTTTTTACAATAATGTGATAAAGATACTAAAAATCTAAATATTTTATATATTTAAATTTTTTATCTAATATTATTATAGAGTTATATTTAAAAAAAAAAATATCCAATCTTTAAAAATCCTATTCACTCTCTCAAGTTATCTTGATATGTCTTATAGTAATTTCAATACCCTCAAAATTCTAAATCTAAATATATCTTATTATTATAAGTTTTATTTGCAACAAATGCTCTAATACTTTCGTGAGCCATTGTACTATATATAATAAAATATATAAAAGTCCGAATATAGCGTGTCTGAAAGAAAGTTTTAACGATAATTTGCGGTCGACGATCGCTCTTTTCGGTAGTGACTTATTTCCTTCGATCACGCCAGTAGTTGGATAAAAATAATTTGAAGTCCAATTTAATTCCGTAAATTGATAAAAATTGAAATAAAAAAAAAAAGTTTTTGATTTATCTATTTTTATATCATATATTAGCAATAATTAAATATTATTTCATTGGAATTCATATAGAACTTCCGGTTCGGGAATAATTTTCGAGATTTTCATTCATGCCAAACATGAAATTTTTTTTATTAAAAGGAGATTTTATATCGTGTGATTTTAATAAAAAAAATCCTTATGTATTATTCATTAATTCTATTTTATTAATCTCAGAGGAAAAGCGAAATTTCGAATTAATTTAATAATTAGGTAAAGAATGAGATTTTTCGATATAAATTTTAAAATTGTTGAAAATTAATATTGAGATAATTTTTATATAATATTTATTTAATTTCGGATTGAGATTTGGCGAATCATACAACGAGAAAAAATTTAATATGTATATTCGTTACAAAAAAAAAAAAACCAAAGTTTCGCCTGAATAAATCCCAATAAAAAGAACGAAAGAAATTTAATTAATAATGTAACTGAATTGACGTCCAATTCTGATAAAAAATTCAAACTCTCATCGTCGAGTTTCGTCTTCGATTCCATCGATTTTCCTCTCACGAGAACACCCCGAAAAGGTATTGACAAGAACATCGAGACGTTAAGTTTTTTTGGCTGACAAACTTTCGTGCTGGCAAATAAAACGTGACTAATTAAAAATGCATAAAGCACCGCGGTTTATTTTCGTGCACCACGTATCGAGACGTAGGCGTAGGCGTGTGTAATTTGGTGTTAGTGGAGAGATGCGGTTTACGTGTCAATATGAAATTCGTGGGTAGTTTCTTGCAATATTCGTCATAGGATCCGATTCCTCCAGAAAATAAAATGGTAAAAGGACGTAAAATGTGACCGAAGCGATTTTCGTGAAGAATTTTGTGTTAAAAAATAATTCGATACAAATGCTAATATGTAATTTACAATAAATAACATCAAGAGAAAAATAAAAGTCAACGACGATAGCAAAAGAAAACATGGACAATAAACGAAAGGAAACAATTAAAACTGATCAACCACTGATAAAAAACAAAATGGAATTATTATGAAAAATCCAATTATTCTTTTCGACAAATATCGAACAATATGAAAAAGGAAAAATTAGTGATAGAAGCATTCGATATAAGATGATCTATTACAACAGAAATTTATTCGATTGTTTACAGAGTTCCCATTGTTCGCCGATTTTAATCAAATTTATATATGTGGCAATACGTTTTCTCGACATGAATCGAAAATAAGCAAGAATTTTTCTTTATTCAAAAACCCGTCGAAACGAGCGAAATAATTGATAGATCACCAAATGTATAGTTTTTTTACTCGAATAAAAGAAACGCAATTTGTTCTATTTATTTGTTTTCTATATATATGCGAATCGTAACATGTCGCAAACATATCGCGCAGTGAATGGAAATTTTCACCGGGAAATACTCGGAAAATTTACTTTACATTCATTCTAACTAAATATTCCCTTGGTCGGTATTTATATAAAAATTCAGACAATGTTTCTTTAACCATATAAAATTCAAAAATTAAACAACATAGGAAGGGAAATATTATGTTTCGTAATAAGTTTAAAAAAAAAAAGGAAATTATGATTTTTAATTCTTATTTAATCAACAAATAATTTTATAATTTATTTATTAGTATAATTAATTAAGATGATCTTATAATCTATTTATCATTATAATGTATTATTTTTTAATAATTAAACATTTATAAAAATTATTTACAAAATTTGAAATTAGAAGGAATATCTTTATAAAATTTTCTCGAATAATGACTATCTTTTATAATAATTTGTAAATCCTACAATTAAGATATTTATTTTTTATCTTTTTTTAAAAATCTAAGGTTATTAAAATCTCTTTCTTTTTTCTAGAAAATATTTTCATAATATCAAATGTTAATTTTTGAGTTTTCAAAATCACATTCTTGCTTTCAATTCTTTCGAAAGACCTTCTAACATCAATTTTTAAAAATTAACACCTCTTTCTCCTTTACAAACGATATTTCTTTAAATTAATTCTTATATATCACTTTTTAAGAATCAATAATCCTTTCTACTGAATAAACAATATCTATTCGATTTCGAGCATTGATTCTCAATTTTTCAATGATTTTTTTTATCCTTCCTTAAATCTTTATAATGTCTCTTTATAAAAATCAATATCCCAATTTTCCTTCAAAAAATTCTGTATTTCTGTATCATTAATCTTTGATAATCTTTTGGTTTCAAACTATCTCGCGAAGACTTGTACTCATCGGTTTTAACAAGTTTCCCCGCACATTCAAGAAAGTAACGCCCACGAATCGGTAGCAATACGTTCCCCGTTTATATTCCAGGGTTTCCTACTGCCAAACAGAATCTGTACAAGAGTAAAGAGTACATACTTACATAGTTAACTAATGATATCCAGAGATTTAAGCAGTCACGCGAGATACCTTGTCGGCAGAGACAAGGCCTCTTAATTACGGTTTTATCGTGTAACATGATGCAAGTATTCGAACGAATTTACTTTTCGAGGTGAAACGTGAATTTGCGCCGAACTTTTGAATAATTCATTTATTCCTTGAGTAATTTGATTTGGATCGTGAATTGGGGAAAAAAATCTTGTATTTTGTGACACAAGTTTTTGATATTTAGTGTAATGTAATTGTTCTTCGTCAAAGAATATTGTACAGAATAATAAATAAGAATTATTCTTATTTTTTAAATTTTGATAAAAGTTCGCGGTATTTCAAATTTTCTAGTTTTAAAAATGTTATATTGTACGCGGATATTTCGTAGAAAAAAGTTTGTAATATTTCAAATTTCTTTTTTTTTTTATTTTATGTTTGATAAAAATTCATGGTATTTCGAATTTTATCCCTGACAAAAAAATTTATGGAATTCGAAATAAAAGAATTTATGAAAAAAAAATATTTTATTTTTATATTCTCTCTATGTTTCCATATTCAATTATTCTATTTTTCGATTTTTATATTTGGCAAAAGATCGAATGAAATAAAAATATTTTATACAATTTTGGATAATTTAAAAAATCTATTGATTCGAAATAATCAACTTGATTATTAAATGATATTGTTGGGTCGTAAGTGATGATAACAAATTTTCAGTTTTATAATTAGATTAAATTTCTTCATTTCTTCAAATAATGAAGAAATTTAATTTTTATTAGTATCTTATATTATATTTTACTAAATTAATATTTTTTTTATAAAGAATTATATTTTTTATAATAAAAAAGAAATAAAAATATGAATAAAGTTTAAATAAAGTCTAAACTACTGCATAACTTATTCTTGTGTATTAATCACGACTTAATGATACCAATTAAATAGCATTATTATTATTATTTTATAATTATAATTATAATAATAATAATGTTTTATAACATTAGAAATAGAAATCTATATATTATCAAATTATTATATTTCACATCATTATTTGTCAACACTAATCTATTTGCTTTTATAGTTAAATTCCTAGATTTTAGATTAGAAAACAAAATATAATGAATTATAATTTCTAAATGTTTTTCTTGCATAGTCAAATGAAATTCAGATCTATATAATGCATGTGAAATTAATGATAAATGTGTCCCCCTAGCGGGCCCTGACTAAACCTATGTATTTAAATTCATACAAAACCGCGCGCTTTCTTCCACCGCCATGTCTAATTTTCAAAACAAATCATCTATCATACTTCGCTTATTATTCGCTTCTTATCCTTTCCAAATATTATATAAATGTATGCACGCGATTATGCACATGCTCCAACATGTTTCAATAAAAATAATAACAAACACGTCAAAAATCAAAACGGAAAATTAAGAGTCTCTTACCTCATCGCGATGCGATGATAGGGCGTCATATATAACGTCGTTTCCTACTCATCCTTCTTCCTACTGAATCGAAAAGCAAATTTCTTCTTCTATAGATGAAAAGGGAATAGAATTGTGTCCAATATACGTAATACACGGTCGATTAATCAAATTCTCGATTCGAATGGAATACAATACAACACATAAAATAAATGAAATAAAGATAACACTCACGACCGAAACTACGAGGCAATAATAAAACGAAAAAACAACGTAAAAACTTCGAGTCGAGCACAATTATTACTTTTTACCGTTGCACGCAATTAAATTTTACGTTTTTTCTTTCGTTTCGCGTTTACCCTTATGTACACGTTGTTCGTTACACACTTATACCGACGATTAACAGGATACGTATTACTTGGTCGACTGACGAGCCTCGACTGCCGCCCCGATGCGAAGCTCACTTCATGGCATCCCTACTTGTGCCCGCTTCCCCCACTAAGGGTTCACAGTCTGATACGGTTAAGGTTATGAATTTCGTTGAATTTGTCTATCCTAAAATTCTAAATATTTTAGCGTTCCAAATATCGTTCCAAGAAATGAAATATGATGCATTATTTATATATAAGTATTTGCATAAAATACGTTTTATATTTAAACTGATTTAGGGAAGTTATATGTAAAAATTCTATCAATCTTGAATTCGAATTAAATAAAACAGGTTATAAATATTTTTTCGAAGAAGACAATTTTAAGTGAGATGAAATGTTAGCTTCTTTTTTCTATTAACAACGTAATATATTATTTTACTTATTTATGATATGTTTTCTAATAATTATAGAAAATTTTATTACGTTTTATACGATTTTGTTGAAAACATAAAATATAAATGCAACGAATCTGTCTCGTTAAAACTTTCTACGAAACATTTTCTACAAAATAAATACAATCCTTTTTCTTTCAAACGGTTAAAATTGTTTATTTTTTTAAATACATTTGTAAATAATAGAAATACATATTAAAAAATAATCAATGACAAAATGTACGACAAAAAATAATTATACCTTTTAGCTCATATTTTTTTATATATGAAAACTTTTTACACGATAAATTAATAATTCACGAGAATTGAATGCAACGCGAAAATAAAACAATCAATTAAAATGAGAAAAAACTATTTTTGATAAAATTGATTGCAAATATAAAAAACGTACAAACAAGAAAAAATTAAAATATTAATATTATATGTTTTCAATATATATTCTATAATATGTATTAAAAAAAATAAAGAATCTTCAAGAAAATATCAAAATATTCGCAATTAAAGAATTATAAAAAAGAATAATAACATTTTTGATATTCAATTTTATCAATGATCAAGACAACGCGATATATTAGATATATTAGATATATATATATATATATAGCATGAAATATGATTTGAATTTATTAATAAAATCATACAAATATCTCAATAGCATTAGTATTTTAGTATTGGAATTCATTACGTAATGGAATTTACACGAACTATGAATAACATTGGTAGAATAAAGCTTTGTCGCATAGAAAATTAAATTTAAATAAAAATACAAATTTAAAAGAATTAACATTAAAGAAGATCGATATACACGTACGCGTGAGAGTTGAATTTTCAATGAAGATATGAAATCGTGTAAATGCTATTTTAATTATTACTGATTCGATAAAATGATCTAAATTCACTTTAAATTTATATTAAATTTTCTTCATATTTCATGGTTATTGGAAAAACGATGTTATAAATTGACGAATATTAATCAAAACGACTAAGTATCCGACCGTTTTCCAATAATGGAACGTTTCCTTTACCACGATTCACGTTTTCCACGAATCACTGTAACCGATAATTAGTTCCGGCGGAAACTAAACCCAAGGATATATGTGTACACAGTTCACAATGCATGTCACACTTTGAAACCGCGGAGGACTCGTTAAAACTTTAATATCGAATGCTTCTACAAAACCATTTTATGTACTTGCATTTACTGCTAACATTTCTCGCAACTCGTATAGTACTTTTTAAAAATAAATTAACTGCTTAACTAACACTGGACGTGCTTAACTAACTTTGCGACGTTATTTTACAAATAAATATGCTAATCAGAAATTGTTACTTGAGTCGAGTGACGAACATTGTATAGAAATTAAACAAAAAAAAAAAAAAAAAGATAATATAGAAAAAAAAATCTTACTTCATGGAAATAATTTGAGAAAATGAGATTAATTTTGTGTGTGCCAAATTGCGTTAATTAAAGATTATTATATACAAATAATTTTTTGTGATACTTAATTATTTAGAGAAGCAAATAATTAACTAGAAAGCAACTATAGCCGTCATATTTCTATTAACTAATTGCCAAATGATAATTATAACAATCATATTTTTACTAAAAAAACCAATAATAAAGTTATTTTTTATATTGCAAACAATTTGATAATAAAATTAATTTCAATAAAATTAAAAAAGAAACATTATACTCATCACTATTGTGCCCAAATGTCCTTTCCATTTGTTTTAGAATTTGATGTGATCTCATGATTTTCTTTATTTTATTTTCTGTTCAATATGTTAAATATAATTATTTTTTTCTGATGAAGATTAATATACTTTGAATAGAAAAAATATAATTTTTTTTTATTAAATTTTTATACTATAAAAACCAAATTACGAAAATAATAACTATAACTTTTTTTTCAAAAATTAAGGATTTCTGTTAATTAATTCTATAATTTCTTCTTGAAATAAAAGAATACTAAAAAAAAGAATCTGCAAAAGAAATATATATCAATTAGTTAATTCAAATATAAAATAATAGATAAATGGATAAATAATTTTACCTTTCATTTACTTCATTTGGTTACAAAATATTTATTCTTCATCATTCTTTATTTTATTTTGACATTATTAAATATATAATAAAATAATGTATGTTAAAATTCTATAAATTTCTTTTTGTTTCAATCTATGCTTCTTTTTTTTATCGTATAATATTTTACATAAACTGAATCAAATATTTAAAAGTTATTCGAATGTTTAATTATATATAAAAAGAATATTATATTTCATTGTGAAAATATCATCGAGTTTTTAACGATTCGTGCAATTGATTGTAATATTATACCTTTTGACAGCTTTCTTCAATAAGTAATTTAAATTTACAGCCAGTTGATTACGTGAAAAATTTATTAATTTTCCATTACTTTGTACGCCATAAAATTCATAGCCATAAATTTTATTTAATAAATTGCACAATCTGTAAATTTTAATTTAATTATTAAATGATTTATTTACAACAATTAATTTTTAAATTTTAAATTAAAAGATTATCCAATCAATTATAATCATTCTCATCCATACATAAATCTGGTTAAAAGAGTAATCCATTTACATAATAATTCAGATAAAAATTCTTTTTTCAATATACATTCTTAATTAATTATGAATGTTATATTTTTTTATTGAAATTTATTCTAAAAAAAAAAATAAATCTTTATTAGAATCTATTCTTGCTTTTCATGCTATTTTTATAAGAAATTAATATTCAAGAAGTTAAAGGATTACATATTATATCATATGCAGTATGATACAAGGAATTTCACCAAATTTGAAAATTTTTCAATAATTAGTTCCAATAGCATAATTCTAAAATTATTGGTCCATTAAAGCATCACATGGAAGTATACAAAAAAGAATTGAATGTTATCAAGGGCTTCTACTGTACTTATTCCAAAAGAATTTCTTCCTTGCTCAAAAGCTGCTTATTTATCGAAAGCTTTCTCGATCTCTAAAAGGTTATCAGAAGAATTTCCTTTTTTTTCGTCTTTTTCGCACACGTTCCATGGGAATTATCTACTTATACTTTATTTGCTCTCAATACTTTTTCTCATTTTATCCTGTTCCATTTTATTCCTCGATATTTCAATGTTGGAAAAATTTCAGTTAACTTCATCATCAATATCGGACGTTTACCTTCCGTAATTCTTATTCATTAAACCAGTCAATTTCTCCACTTCGACAGTTGAACATTTGCTCGATGTGTTATTTATTGGAAAGAAATAAAAAATAAATTTGAAAAATGATAAAAAATTCAAAAGAGGGAATAAACTTTATAACATAATATAATAGTATAATATAATAGAATAGTATAATATAATAAAATTGAAAATAATAGAATGTTTTTTTTTTTCGAAAAAAAAAAGAAAATAAAAAATCTCTTTATTCGTACATACACTTCATGATTTTTCTTCTTCTTCTTATTTTCTACAATTGATCGATTTTTCTCCATTTCGAAAAGAGTCATTCAGAATGTTTCTTAAATGAAAATCCTTCAAACACTTTAAAATAATCTCATACATTTATTATCATCTTCTAATCCAACGTTTTTCAATATAACATATATCGACAGTGAAGAGCATTTTAAATATTTTGAAAACAATTGCAAAATTGCATTCATCGTCCATTAATAATTATTAAAAATATACAATGTGTAACATTGAAATTTATTATTCATTGAACAAAGTCAAAATCAATTTTACTTATGCTCTTCTCTTAAGTATCTACTTACATTATGCTTTTCCAAAATTTGTTAACAACTAATACGCTAGAAATATAAAAATCTTTGAGGTATTGAACTGAGATACGATTTAAAAAATAAAATTAAAAAATTAAAATAAAAAAATATCCCTTAATAACATCTTCTTCATTTTCCCCATTAAGAATCATCTATTCATTTCCAATTATTTAACAATTTATGAAAATCATCGTTAAGTCCGTCTTCTAGGTCAGTTATGAAGCGCCTCTACTTTCTCCTGTACGCCGTGGGATAATCCGTCAAAATGCTGCCAGTTGAAAGAATGGCACCTGGACCGCCTAAGAGTCCACCTTTGTTCGCCAACCATCCGTTACCACCGAAAAATCCGGCTGGTTCCACTCTGTTAGTGTAAAACCCGGAATCAGTCAAACTGGCGAGATTCAATAAATTATTCGCGTTGCTTAATTGCTTCCCCTCCTCTTGGTTCCGAAATCCAAAATTATTCAACGCCTCTTTGAGCTGAGTGACACGATTCTGGAGAGTCTGCGGGTCGATCTGAAGATTCTGGACCAATGGCGTGAAAAACCAGGAGAAGAGGCTTGGTTTCGACGTGGTGCTTGTTTCAGGCTGAAAATTAATGTTAGTTTGTTAGAAGAGTTATTTAATGATGGGATAAAAATGAATAAGTGGTACGAAGAGCTTGATATAGAATATATCTTGAAATATAATCGAGTTTTATTTTTTTATTCGATGGAATTTAAATTATGGGAGAATTTGGGATGGAATATTTTTTATCATGTTGGAAAATTTAATAATTGGAACGAAGAATTTGGGAATTTGAAATATTCTTTTATATATTGGATTGATAAAATTGAGGTGAAGAATTTGGTTGGTACAATTGAGATTCCTTTTTATTGGATTGATAGAATTTAATAATTTAATAAGAAGAGTTTAATTAATTAATTTAATTTAATTTAAATATATATATATAAATAATATAATAATATATAATAAAATTTAATTTAATAAGAATTAATAATTTAATAAATGCAGCAAAAAATTTAGTGCATAATTATGATTCCCTTTTTTTTTTATTGGATTTTAAAATTTGATTTAATAATTGGGATGGAATATTGATGTCCGTGAGAAATTTTAAAGTTTTTTTATGGAGATAAAAGAATTTTATAATTGGGATAATAGAGTGCAATTTAATTATATACAATGAAAAATTTGGAATGTAATAATTTAATTTAAGAAATAATTGAAAAATATGTAAATTAAATCAACGATTGGAAAAAATTTATATTTGATTACAATACCAAAGAGAAAGAATCAAAAATTTGAGTTCATTTGCTTTTTTATAAAATTTATATTAACATTTTTTTTCTAAATTGAGAAAAATAATTTAATAAGAGTTTCAAAACATATAAATTCGAGAATATAATTTTATAATTAAGGATTAATATTATATATTATAATTATTTAAATAAGATGATTGTCTATAATTAAAATGAATAATAGAATTACAGTTTCTTCGATTATATATATTACTTACGATAAAATATTTTTACTATTTTTGTTTTATACCTTCGAATCAGATCACATTTCAATTTGGATAAATCTAAAATCTATATTACAGTCTTAAAAAATTTTTTTATACTTTTCCTCGAGGATTAAGGAAGATTATTCTTTTCTGTCAAACCTAAAAAAGAACTAAAATTTAAAATAACCACCGTAAATCTTGCGAAAAGCGTAAAAAATTGGTGTTACACACGTTTTATAATCCACATACATATAAGGTATAAAACACGATTTATAATCCCAGAAGTGTTTTACTTTATTTTTGCAAAGTATTGTATAACAAGTACTCCAGTGCTTTGTGCTTTGACTATTGTATCCATTGTGCTTCTGTTTCGAATGTATATCTTCCTCGAGTGGATCAATTATATACCTTCGATACTTACAGTTTGAATGTTGTTCAATGTTGACGTGATATTAGAATCTTGATCCACGGTATCTGTCAGTTTCACATCGTCAATTTTATCAGACGATTGATCTGGGGATTGAGCGTATGATCCAACAATCTAAATATTCAAGAAGAGAAAAAATGAAATAAATAATATTAAGTTCTTTCGAAATAATGAAATTAAAAATACATTTGAACTGGATTAATTTGAATAAAATACATCTTTTGATAAACACATGATATCAAAAAGCACAAAAATTATACAAATATCAAATTCCTTCGAAATAACAATGGTAATAATCTAATAATTCAATCTAAATATTGGATAAAAAAAAAAATAAAAAGCTACAAAATACTATATTCTACAAAATTAAATTCATAAATTGTGTAAATAAAATATATTCATAAACTTCTGTAAAAAAAACACTCAAATATATATATTAAATTCTAACAATGATATATCGTGCACACATAATGTCATCCCACGTAAATGAACGTAAATAAGAAACAGATAATTCAGAAATACGATTTACCAGTAAGATCAACATCAAAACCGACGACATCGTTTCCAAAATCGATTTCCTCGACAATCCCAACTTCCGCCGAGGGAAAGCACTCACGTAAGTTTCCACGAAGTGCAATAATCGAAGTGCAACTGCGTGAACCGTTCCCGCATTCGACAGTCTATATACCATTTCTCCGTTGAACAAAATTTCTCTTATCGAATGGAGGTACCCTCATACGCTCAATACATCACTGATAACGTTATGATTACCAAATTATACCAGTTTCACGTCACGGAAATTTGGAGTAATCTTTTCTATCGCGTTTCAATTTGTTAATTGAAATTAGTTAACTCTAGATGCTAAAAGTTGAAAAGTTATCCTTAAGCAAAAAGAAAAAAAATATCATTTTTGTTTCTTATTTAGAAGGTATCATAAAATATGATATTTAAATGTAATTTTATATGTATTCACTTTTATTATCATAAAATTTGTTCAGCAATAATATTTTTTCAAGCAAATTTAATTGTGTATATGATTTTAATTAATATTTATTTATTTATTTATTTATAAAGATTTAAGTAATTTAATCGATTAAATAAGATCACTTAATTTTTCTCTTTTGTTAGTTTTATTGTTCAATTTTTATTACAAATAAATTTGTATTTATAAGCATTTTTATATATCAAAATCTTCATATAGGTAGGTACATTTATTAAAATTATTTATCTTTTATTACTATCCGCCTACAAATTGTTAATTAAAAAATGAAACTTTACTTTCTCTTTTTTTTATATTTTATTAAATGAAATTTCATTCACTGAAACAAATCATAATCAAATTTTAAAAATATTCTAGGAAAATTCCTTTTAACACAATTAAGCGAGTCTTGAACAAAGCTTATTAGAATAAATTCTAAGAATTAAAATCTGTTGAACGTGAATAGTATATTATTTATTTATATCAACTTTTACTAATTTTCTTAACAAATAAAATGCTAATTAATATGAGAATATGAAGAACAAAAAATAAATTCCACTTCCAATTTAAAAAAAAATTCTCATTAAAATATATATAAATTATGAATTTACTGAAGCGAAATATGAGATTTATAATATTTCCAAGTACAGATGTTTTCCAAGAAGAGAAATAATTTCTCTGTATAATTTCTCCGAAAATAATTAATCTATTTCAAAAATAACATTTTTCAAAATAATTCTAACAATAACAATTATTATTATATTTAAATTATTACGTTTAAAATTAAAATAACTATTTCTTAGGCCATAAATTAATAAATTAAGTCTATTTTAAAGGTGTCAATAAATTATTTTTATCGAAAAAATTTTAAAAAGGAAAGAAATTTTAAATTCTTTTCTAATATTCATGATGTAATTTTAAACGAGACAAAATACATTAAAACTTCCATTATATTCTAACTTCCAAATATTCTAACATTTTTTTCTACTAACGCACCATTTTGTTATGTGAATTATACATTATAATTCACAGCAATATAAATATCTTCTTTATATTTTATAAAATTTAATTTGAAATAACAAATTCATATTGTATTTACCTATGTCGATATTAACTATTGAAACGAAACCGGAAATGCTTAAGAAATTAGAAACTGGTAAAAGTGCTACAGTGTTGATAAAAATATAAAATATTAGAAAATTCTAAATTATTAATAGAAAAAAAGAAAAACAGAAAAATGAAATAGAAAATTATATGGAAGATATATATATTGCACATTCCTTTATGCATTAAAAAATTTGTATTCTCTCTAAAAAATATACAATCTTTAATTTTATAATAAAAATATCAATTTTATTATAAATAAGCATATTATTTTCCTCAAAAGAATAGAATAATTCACCTAATAAAAGTCTATATTACTTACATACTATATTACTTACTACTTATCTGAAAATTCGTTTATCCAAATAGTTTAAGTAATAGAGATACTACTATAACTAGAAGTCTTCTTCTAGAATACTTCCAACAAACATACTAAAAAAAACACAAATTTTTTACTTTTTTTTATTAAATGTTTGAGTTTTATCTCTCTATTAATTCAGAGATTCTACTATACCTAGAAATCTTCTTAATATTTTCAACAAATATGCTAATAAAGACGCAAATAGTCAGTGGACGAATAGAGATTCAGAGACTCGTGTTAAAAACCAGTCGGCCTTTTCACTATCGCGTACAATCTGGATCCACAACCGAATTACCTTGAAAGTGCGTGCAGTCATCGAACAGGATCCGCTGGTTCTCGTCCTTTTTCCTTTACTCCTCGTGAAATCGTCATGACGGCCTTGTGCAAGGTCGCGGCCTTCCAAGAACGAAAGTCCCGATCATTTGATTGTTCTTCGTGATTCACTTTCGCTCCAACATATGTTCAACATTTGATTAAATTATTAAAATAAATCGTTCATTGTTAAAAAGATGAAAAAACAAGATTCATGATTTCAAGAACGACGAGATATAAATCAAAGATGATATTATTAGATGATATTTTAGATATTTTCTTCTTCTTCTTCTTCTTTTTCCTTTTTTTTCTTTTTTATTTTTAAGAAATTAGTATTATTTATACAGTGAATGGAATTAATTAATGCTTAAAGTTTTTTGTATTATGAATTAAAATATTTTTATAGTTCTACCTGGAAAAAATTTTCAATTAATTGAAATTTTAAATACGTATATATTTAGAATTATAAAATAATTACAAAAGTTAATATTTTATTTATTATAAAAAGTAATAATAACTTACTTTTCAATAGTAATTAAAATTATTTTTAATTATAAATATTTATAAGTATTTTATATTTTTAAATATATGCATAAGTGCTATTAAAATTCAATCAATTAATTAGGTGCATGCAATCGTAATATCTATGTTAGTTAAGATCTATTTTAACCAATCGACGTATAAACAGCAAACTCAACAAATTTCAATACACACTAATTAGAAATTTCCATCCGCATTTGAAAACATTTTCTAATAGTACTGCTTTTTATTTTAAAAATAATTTAAAAATATAATATATTCATTTCATTAATATATTCATTTAATTTTATACATAAAGTGGATTGTGAAAAGAAATAAAATAAAAGAGGAATAGAATTTACTATATTTATGACAAAATAAAAAATTGATGATGAACTTTGAAAATCAAGAAAAGAATTATTTCTTTATAATAATAGAAATTTTTTCTTCAAATGAGAATACTAAAATCCATTATTATATAGTAGCAAAAAACTAAATCCAAAATTCAAAAATTTCCATTATGCGAATTCTTTTCCATAAACCAAAAGAGAAAAACAATCCTTGTTGTACTAAATAACAAAATTCTTTCTTATACATTAATTTCTGAAAAAATAAAATAAAAATAAAATTAATTTACAATTATATAATAATATAATATATATATATAATAATAAAGGATAAAAGATCATAATCAATCTCAAAAATTCAATTTCAAAAATTAATTATATAAAAACTATTATTTATACACCAAATCTAGAAGATTAGAACAAATTTTATCATTCCACTCTTATTCACTTCAAACTTATATTTGAATATATTTGTACATATACATTTATTTACAACTTACAATTGGAGCAATAATTTTCTTCAATAATTTTTTTTTTTCATTCTATTCTTCTTTCCAGTCACCATAAATTCAAATTTACATATATGTATATATTTATTTTATTTTTTTTTTTTTTTCACTCTACTCACCTCAAACTCGAATCTATTACATATCTGTTCCAACATACAATTTTCATCAATAATTCTTTTCTTTCCTCATTCTTTCTCTTTACTCTTTTCTTTACTCTTCTTAAATCTACGCATATTTATAATTATAAAATACATACATATTTTTTTTCACTCTTACCTCTACTCACTTTAAACTCGAATCCATCACATATCTGTTCCAATTCCATACAATTTTCATCAATAATTCTTTTCTTTCCTCGTTCTTTACTCTTCTTAAATCTATGCATATTTATAATTATAAAATACATACATATTTTTTTTCACTCTACTCATCTCAAACTCGAATCTATCACATATCTGTTCCAATTCCATACAATTTTCATCAATAATTCTTTTCTTTCCTCGTTCTTTACTCTTCTTAAATCTACGCACATGCATACATCATCCGAATTTTGATACGTGACACGATCTCTCTTCGATCATTTTTATTATTTCGTCCCATCCTAATGTCCGAACCGTGCGGAACGCGATTGTATCACTGTTCGCCTGGAACCGGAAACCAAAGGAAGCGAATCCACGCTCGGCCACGCTGCATAGCGGAAAACCAAGCTCGGTTCACGCACGCGAGCCGCATACCGATCTCAACTTAATTCAAGTGTCACGCGTCTGCGTTCGCGAACCCTTGCGTGGCCTCTCGTTTCTTCCTCCTTGATTAACACTTCTGCTCTTTTCACGCTTAGAATGTACTGTGCGCGCCGATGGAACCGTTACCAGCCTTTTTCGAGACCAGTTCCTCGGCGACGCTCGGCCGCGAACCTTGATCCACGCGAGGAAAATCGACGAATCGAAGGAACGAGCGCTCTGGACCGGTCTGGATCGTTCAGTTTCGATATAACGACGCTCTCACGCGGACTAGTCGGATTTTTTCCCCGGATCAGTTGATGATGGCGATCCTGTGATCTGGTGCAGTGGTGACATTTTTACTGGAAATAGTGTTTCTCTAGTGTTCGGGATACGTTCGAGAGGTTGAAGAGGATCTTTCCAGAGAGAGAGAGAAAAGGAAAGATAGCGATTATTCGAAGAGAGAGATCTGGAAAAGGCAAATATGAAGATCTTTTATTGTTTTTTGGTGATCGTGCTGTCTCGACAGGTGAGATGATCTCGGTGATGATATTTTATTATTTTATAGCGAATCGTTGTTAATCGACGTGAATAAGTTTGGAAAGTAATTTTGTTCAAAAGAGGAGGAGATCGAATGATTTTTGTCGACCGAAAGTATTAATCAGATTTTATTTAATTATATTGTGAAGAGATTATAGAGATTTTGAAATAATTATATTACTTTTAATTATTCACTCAAAATGAAAAGGAAGAAATCTCAACATCTTATTTAGTATTATATATATTATAATTAGTTGAATAATAATTATGAATTTTCGAATTTGGAAGAGAAAATTTTATTTTATCTTGAAGATGGATCATTTATCGTATTGAAAAATTAGTTTAATTGATATATGATAAAATGCAACAATGCAAAAATTCAAATATTAAACACAATTCAAATAATAAATACATTTAATGACTTAAGATGCTTAATGTAATTTATAATATAATTATTAGAATTATTTAAGAATTATTTAAATTTATTTTTCTAAATTTTGTAATTATTAAATAAAATTCTAAGAATTGAAGAAAATTATTGATGTGGATTATAAAAAATATCATATTAAAACTTTATAATACTGAAAATTAATATTTGTTAATATTTTAAATAGACTTCTCAATAGACTCAAATATTCCTGTCATTGGAATTACAATAAATGTTTCATAATATATACAACAAGTTGATATCAAATTTTTATTTTAACATTCATGAATTTCAAAAAATAAATAAATAAATATTTCTCAAAAAATGAATAGCTTTTTCAGAAAAATCGTATCAGATATTAATGTTATAATATTCTAATAAAATAATTAAACTTTTTACTTGATTATTTAAAGTTTGTTTCGATTATTTAAATTTCACAAATTGTCAAAAATTATGTTCTCTTATGATGTTCTCTTTAAAGGTCTCAGTAGCCATTTTATTCGCATTAGTTGCACAATTCAATTCCTTTTCCAAAAACTTGCACTTTAATTCTGATGAAAAGGTGGGAAAAAAGTTACCACTTACTTTGACATAGATAGAAGGTCGAGTTTTAATTAACTCTCAGAGAGAAGTTTCACCAAAGTTTAAGCCGCCCCTTGTGTCGTTCTACCGTTCTCAAGAATCGTGGCCGACGATTTTCTGCCACGAGAACTTTTCCTTCCTTTTAATTATCCTTTAAAGCAGCGATTCTTAACCTTTTATTCACGAATCTTTTCTTTAAATAATTCTTTGCTGTCTCAGACTTTCATTTAGTTCCAAATTTGAATCTGTAATGTGTGAATATATGTATTTATATTTGATATTAGTATTTGATAGTATTTTATAAATAATATTAAAAGATAAAATAAAGCAAGCAATTAAAGCAAGAAAGCATTAAATAAATGAAGGAACAAATCTTACTTACTTATCATAATATTATTTGCTTTTTGATATTACTGCAATATTCACTGCATATAATCTTATAAATTGTACATATATCTTCAAGAGACTTGTATATTTCCTTCAAAATTAAGATATAATTTACTCTGTTATCTTGTACACTATAACAAAGAAAATAATTAACAACATTATATCAATAATATATATTTCACGAAAAAGTGCATATAATTTAATTAATTGTTAACTATCTCATTATTGAAATTTTACCAAAAATAAAACGATTGTTAAGATTTCTAGCACAAATGTATCTATATTCCTAAATAAAAATTATAAAGAACAACAAAAATTTTCGAGAGAATTAAAATTATGATTTGTGATAATTATAACTTTTTGTTTTAGACTCTTTGTGGAATTCTAAGAAACCCACCTGCCTTCTCGAAGCCAGTTTACTCGGATTCCTATCTTCCTGCAGCTATGCAAGTGAGCATCATCGTTAATTCTATAAAAAAAAAAAAAAAAAGCTTCGTTCAATCTATAAAAATTCTAAAATTCAATTTTAAAAGAATTAAAAAAAAAAAAACATATATTAAATTAAAAATATAATCTTAAAAATTCGGTACACTTACCGATTACTCAATGGTAATCCCACCAAAGGAATCTGTTTCTATGTCGCACAGGTGATATTCCACGCTGTCGAGCAATTGAAACTCCTCCAATCAGAAGAGATTATACACAGCTCGACCAACACAGGAGATCCCTCGACCTCGCCGATCACCCTCCCGGATCAAGATCAACAAACAACCCCTCAAGATGCTTCCACCTCGGTCACAATAACTCAAGAGGAGTCGAACGCGGAGGAGGAAGAATCCAAAGACTCGGAAGACTCGTCGAGAAACAAGGAGGAGCAAACATCTCAACAATGCCCGGGAAACAAACCGGAAGAGTCCAAGATCGAGGAAGAAACGGAAGAAGCGAAGGTGGACGAGACATCGACGGAGAAAGTGGAAGGGTCTAAAATCGAAGACGCTTCCAAAGTTGAGGAGATGTTAAGCGACAGTGTAGCGGATGAAAAGGAACCGAGCGAAACAAAAATGGACAAAATGGAGGAAGGAACATCGGGGAACGCGAATGCGGAGGGCGCAACGGCGAAACCTGTGGAATCGGCGGAAGATCACACGGGAGTAGAAGAGTCGCCAGAGTTGAACGAGGAAACGCCAGAAACGAACTATGCGACGCCGGAAACGAATTACGAGAAACCGGAAGAGGTGCATGCCGTGGAAGAAACGAATCAAGAAGCGGACGAGGAAAATCACGAATGGATTTCCTCGATCGATACGAGGGTGGAAGTGACGACAACAGCGTTGGCTAATCCACCAGATTCGGATCGAGTAACGATCATTGGGAACGACGAGAAGAAGAAAGAGCCGACCATCGACAGCGTGGTCCAAGGTGTCTACGAGATCTTGAAACCTACCACGTCGAAATTCGTCGATGAAGAATTGTTCGAGGAGCATTCGAAGAGCATCGTGGGAGTTTCGATGGAGAAAATGGAGAGGGCCGAGGAGGAGAGTGACGAGAATAGGTAAGGTTTTTGTCGGGAAGATTATCCTTTGCGAGAATGAGGGAATATGGAAGATTTGACAGAAGATCTATTGTGCCTGGGATTGATGTGAGTTTGGATAACGTGATCTATACGTTTGCAGAAAGATTAATTGATTAAAATAATTGTTGGGATGTTTAATAGATTAATATTTAAAATTTATATCTAGGTTTATCTTTTTTTTTAATTGCATTCATGAAAATAAGAATTTTCATAAATGTCTAGTTTTTAATTATAGGATATATTTTATAGAACACATAAGTGGAATATATATTCAAGAAATTCATTTCTTATATACTATATCAAAATATTTTCTAACTACTGGAAACTTTTCTTATAAACATTCTTAGACATTAATTTTAAATTACTTTTTTATATTCTATTTAATTTCTTTGATCGTTTAGAAATAACGTTTCTTTAATTAACTTCTTAATGTAGAAAAATGAAATTATAGAAAGAAATTGATAGCTTAAAAAACGTAAAAATAAATAACATTATTATATTCTAGGAAAAAATTGAATTATTTATAAAAATGTTTAAATATTGAAAAATCATTCACGAAGATGCATAGCTGCAAAAAAGGAATAATTTAAAAAGATAATCAATATCATCAATTATGCCATGAGAATAAATTAATTTAATTTGAATTTATAATTCAGATATTTTTATAAATCTCGTATATAATATTATTTATCATTTTTTTATTGTATAAATATAGAAAATTTAAATTCGATTGAATTTGATATAATATTTGAATTTATTACAATAATGTACAAGCGAAATAAATTCTCATTAATGTTTCGAACTTGATACAAAGTAGATAAATAGTAAAGTGAGCCAACCGCAACAAGAATATTACTGTTCAGTATTCAATTGAGATATCGATTCGAGTCTCGTTAGAAACTTTATCTAACTAAATGTATACATAAACAGCAATGATTACTTCGAGTATAAATGTTATATCAACTCGTTATGAAACTAAAAGGTGTGTATTCAATGAAATTGCTCCATTATCTTCAAAATTTCAACGATAAAACATGCTGTTTTTCTTCTGCTATTTTAAAATTAAAAAATTTATAATTGATCATTTCATAAAATAGAGATCCCATAGAGAAATATTAAAGTAAAATGATTTAATTAAATTAATTAATGTAAATTTAACAGCAACGACACTGAATATTTTCAATTTTTCCAAATAAATCAAATGAAATTTAAATAACCAACACGAATAAATTAATAAATATCCTTTACGATAATTAAAAAAAAAAATAACAAAATCCCAAAAAACGTATCAAATAAATTAAACCAAAGATGATATAAAGAAATTCTTCTATGAAGTAAACTAACCAAAGATTAAATAACGAAAGGTAAAAGATAAATCGAACAAACGAACAGAAGAACTATAATAAAAAAATTATTAGAATATCGATAAAAAACAAAAATTTATCAAGTATTTTATCAACTAGCTTTTTACTTTCCAACCATTTCTCTTCAGGTTCACACGTCTAGGGGAGAAGGTGACCCAAGTTCCAAGGCCGAGTTTGACCAGCTACCTAAGACGTTCCAAAGTACCACCGAGTGCCACCCTTCAACAACTTGCAAATCTTTACGACTCGTTGAGCAAGGATGCTAGAAAACAGGGATTTGGCAAATATACCGGATATTCCGACGAAGTTCTCAATACTTTGGAAACTTCTGCCGAGGGTGGCATAGGGCCACAGATGAAGAAGATTCTTTCCAAGGTGTTGGAACGAAACGAGTTGACGAGGGAAGACGCGAGAATGAGGGCGTCACAGGCTGTTCGAGATCTCGACAACCCTTCGAGCATGCTCAACAAGGATCTAAGAGCCGTGTTGCCTTTGCGTTACTCCCCGTAATCCTAGATATTAGATATAATCGATTTCACACGCGTCCACGATTAATTCGATACGTTGATTTGGTTAAGGATTTGTTATCTTGAAGGGAAAATTGATATTCCAGTAGCGTAGAGATTTGATCGAATAAAGTGGAACGTCTGTGATAATAATAATAATATTGTTTTGATTTGAAAATTTTAAATTATGGATTATGGATGGAATTGGAAATTGTTGAAAATTTTAAATAGAATTAAGTAATTATTTGAATTACCTGTTGAAATTTAGATTACACTTTCTTCAACGTTGATTTCGAGCGTTGATAATATACGGTGGAAATAAAATTATTATTTTCTTTCTGTATAATTAATAATTCAATAAAACTTTTATACATAGTGGATTGGTCGATTCACTGATATCTGTTGTTTTAATGTTAATGTGATTATATATAAACTCTTGAATGATCTCAAGTGATTTAACCTAGTATATCATTGAAATGATCTTCAAATGTCTTTGAAATGATTCTTAATACTTGTAAAATTATTTTTATTAATCTTGAAACTTGAAATAATCTTGACTGAGTTCAAATTTTTTTCAAATATTTTTTGAGCATTAAATATCATTTAAATAATTTTCAAATGATCTTAAAATAATTATTTTAAATATTATATCCTTAAAAAGTATTGGAGAAAAAATTGCCTCCAGAAATAAGAAAATTTAATAAAGTATTTTCCAGACATATTTCAATATAATTAGTATAAATCAAATATTCCTGGAACAGCATTCTTTCAAAGCTTCGACTAAAGCATTCAAAACCACAGGAATTTAAAAGTGATTCAATAATTCTGAATACAATGAAGTTGATTCACAACTGATTTTTTTTTAATAATGCATCATCATTGTGATATTGACTCATACAAAGTTTTTGAGATAATATCATTCTAAAGAATTGCACTATATATTACACCTAAAACAAAATGTAATCAATTAATTCAAGAATTTATAACATTTTGCAAGCATGCATCACTGAAAGTCTTTTTTTTCAATTTATGAACATATATTAATTCATTAAATATATAATTAATTATTGTATTTGTAAAATTCATGTTTGTAATATTTGATACATTATTATTCATTTCAAAGAATATTTTTTTAATCATTATTAATTAATAAAAATCACACTTGGTAAAAATTATACTTCCATTAAAAGAATAATCTAATTATACAAATCTACTTGATCTTAAACAAGTCTAAATATTGATCTTAAATCCCTGTAAACATAATAGAATCAATTAATTGCAAAGAATAAATTAACATTGCCAATAAAATATCCAAATACATCTGAACGCTGTACAAACATCAAACAATCTTATTTTTTACAATCCATCACTATTATTCGGCACCATTTATACCAAAGCGAAAATCTCGAGAATTTTCCCATCTACCTTGACCCGTGGCACAATATTGTTTATTGCTCGAACAATATGAGCTGGCAAAGAGTCCACGAAGCGACATTACGTGCTTCGAATATCAATCTCTGTTGGGTAATCTCGCGTCAATCGTTTGTCCAGGAGTCAGCGGCGCGGACAGAAAACAATAGGGTCGTTGGTACTGATCGAATTAGAAGCATCGAGACGCTACGCCTTTGCATTGCACACCGGTATAAATGAATTTTGAAATCAATGGATCCTTCAGTCGTTGCCTCGCCTTCGAAGAAAGAAATCGTCGAAAAGGAACAATTAGGGTTGAAACATCATGAAGATTTTATTTCTTGGATTTTGTCTTTTTTGCGTAAGTAGAAATTTAGTTTAGTTATTAAAACAAAAATGGGAAAGAGAAAATCATTTAAAAAATCATTATTGATTTTTTTTTTCTAAAATTGAAAAATGTGAACGAATTAATAATAGCAAATTTTATTAATTATTTATTATTTAATTATTACATAAAGTATTATGTAAATATTAATTATTTATCCTTGTCTTGATTATGACACGTATTTTTTAAATATCCAAAGAAATAGAAGTTCCTTTAATTAAATTTTGTATAATTTGTAATATTTTCATTTATCTTTACTTTAATTTATTTAAAAATTATAGTGATTAACATATTTATAACATATGGAAATTATCTTTGGGGTAATAAATTCTCTTATATTGTTAATTACGTATTTTCAATAAAATTGGTTTCAAATTTTAATATATCTTTTTTATAAAACTAAAGAACAAAAATGTGTTTCTATTATAAATAATTATATAAATAAAGTATATATCAATTTAAAAAAACGATTTGATTCATAAAAGATTAATTACAATGAAAATTAAATACAATAAATAAATTTTTTTGTTTGTGACAATGTTAAATAATTTAAATAATTTTTTTATATGAAATTTTTCAAAAGAATTTAATTTAGAAATTAATTTCTAAATGATTTCAAAGAATTTTTGAAAATTATCTAATTCACTTGATAATCTCTTTAAAAAAATTCCACCAACCAAAATATGAAAGATTTAATTAATATTTTCGATTAATATCGCAAATAAATTAAAAAACAATCCAAAAATGTTAATTTTCAATATCATAATTAATTGATCAAATTTTGAAAGGAAGAAAAGATAGAAAAAACAAATAAAATGTATTTCAGCTCTCTATCCTGAGAGTGGAATCGAAGCCACAAATAACGAAACTCTTCCCGATCCCAGAAGAAACAAGCGATCCTCCACAACGATCTGACAACGATACGAAGCCTTTGGACAAATTATTCGGAAAATTGCGAGCCACGTACAACTTCGTGTTTCGAAAGCCAGAGAACATGAGCAACGTGGAGAAAATTTTGGCCAAGGATACACCTGACCCTGATGTCGAAGCGCTTAAAGTAATCTGGTCTAATCGAATGCAATCAAATTCGAAGGATAAGGAAGATTCGAAGAAATCTCAACCCAAGGGAATGTATTTAGCGGCAAACGACGAATGGGTGAATGATATTCAACCTTTAGATCATTTAGAACCTCTAGAACCATTGGAATTGGAAGACGAAGTAGAAAATCATAAGGATCGAGAGGTAGAAATCGTTACACCGAGAACCAGTTTCCAGTTTCCGGTCACATTTAGTCGTCATCTCGTTGATTGGCTTGGATCACTTCTGGGAATTACTTATGGAGTATATTCTAAGTTAGCCAGAGCAATTTATAGCAATTATACTGCAATACGTATTAGCTGATTGTAAGAAATATATATTTTATATTACTTTGGATTTTTGTTTGTATTAAAAATAATTGAATAAAATGAAAAGTGACGTAAAGTGTTCAACCCAGGATCTGAAACATAATAGAAACATGGTAAAACTGCATTTATTTTAATCCAACATTCCATTTGATTAGAATTCATTGATTTTCATCAATTTCTTGTAATTTTTCATTTTTTTAAATAAAAATTCATAAATGTGATTGAAATAAATGAAGTTTTACAGATAATACAAGTAAATTTTTTCTTTACATTTATTTTATTCAAAAATATCTTGGTCTGAAAAATACATGTGTTACCTCTTATCCATTCTTTTCTTTTTTTTTTTCTTTTCTTTTTTGGCAATCATCATATTATACATAACAATCGTTAATCGAGTAACACCTTGTCGCGAATCCATTGTTAAAATATTTCAACACCTTCGTCATATCATTTTACGTATTATAATGTCCGCGAGAAATGGCCACAAAAATGTGGACATTGATATCTTATGTACTATTTAATTAACTTTAATGGAAAGATTAGTACTGTTTCCTTAACCCAGGATAGTGATACGATACTAGTAATCCTTGAAAATTAAGATAATTACAATAATTATTCTTAAAAAGAAATCCATCAAAATTTTCAAGATATCATATAACTGTTCCTATCCAGGGCAAAGTAAAACAGGAAGTTTAAAGAAGTTCAGGAGGAAAAGACAAAATACTGTTATTCTCACGAATATTTAAAGTCTTTGGTTCTATTACAATGCGGTATGAATATTTTTAGTGCCATCCGCAGTCATTCATTCTAATCTTATGTATGCCTAGCAGACATTTTAAAGATGTTGGTCATAATTAAATGTAATCGCAAGTTCCAAAATTTATATGGAAATATTTAGAAGCATGTTCCATAGTAAACAGTAAATTGTCAAAAAGTTGTACTTTCAAAATTATAAATAAAATATATGTATATTTAAAATAATTTTACAAATAATAAAAAGAATAGTATAATAGATTTGTTTTTTAAAAGTTCTTTTTTACCAAAATTAAGAAATAAATGAAGAACAATTTTATAAATGTTTATATTTTTGACAATTTACTGTTTTCATCAAAATTATCTTTTGAGCAATTTTTTTTTTATTATTTTTATTTAAGAAATTTCTGAGTAAATATAAGAAATTATACGATAAAAATTTTACTTTGGAAATTTGATTTCTATGAAATGAACAGTACAGAAGTTTCATTTTTAATAAAATTCATTCGTGAATAAGTAAAAAAATAATAAGAACTTCTTCGAATCTAAAATAAAAAACAAAATAAAAAAAAAAGAATCAAAAATTGTTATTCAAATAATAATATATTTTTTTCGTTCGTTATTTAAACGCGAATATTCTTTGGTACGAAGAAAAACAAAAAGATTTTCAAGTCACTTTAAAATATTGAGCAAAGTAATCTTTCTTTCCTCTAATATCACTTCTCAAACTTTTGCATCAAAATTAATATATAATTTGCAACGTAAACTACATTACAGAAAAAAATTCTTAAAAAATATAGTTATATTTTTTAATAAAAATTTCTTTTTTTTATCTTAGAAAATTCATCTAAAAAAATAATAAAAGTAAAAAAAAAGATCATAATGGCATTTTTCATTGAAAACATTATTAAAAAACATCAAATGTATAAAAAATATGTTTGTCTAATTGGAATATGAAAAAAATTGAAAAGAAAAAACGATGAATTATAATATATATTACTATATATTAATTATATAGTAAATAATAAATGGCTTAATTAAAATACGTATGTATAGGTATGGTAAATATGAACACGGACGAATCAGAGATCAAGTTTTAAACAACATACCTACTGAGTCTCCATCAGGTAAAATTTGTATATAGTACTTATATACAGAATTATTCTACAAATTTTTATAACCATATTTATTGGCAGTATATACTATTACTTGTTCGTATTCGCTTTGAAATTATCCTAACGGCAAATTGGCATTGCGTATTTTTCAACGCTATCATTGTTTTTATTATTTTTATTATATGTACTCCATTCTAGGACACAAATATGCACACTGAACTCGAATTTTTTTAAAAAAAAAGAGAAAAAAAAAATCTTTCATTACGAACATAGTAAAAAAAAAAAATCAAGTTCAGTGATTTATGTCAAGTTTATATTTTGTGATCATAGACTAGAATCAATAAACAAACTATTTTCTTTATAGCTAATTTAAATAAGATAAATGATGTACTCTAATGCAAATTGATTGCTCTTTTTGTTTTGTATATTGTTATTATTATTATTGTTATTATTATTATTTTTTTTATTTCAATTTATCTAAACTTATTGTTAGACTCACTCAGGCTTTGTAGCGGACTACTATTAAATGATATTATTTCATATGAATAATGGAACTTAACTGTAGTTTATAATGTGTTCATTAAGAATATGAATATAAAGTACTGCTCACTGAATACTAATATTTCTTTGTGAAACGAAAAAAAATAGCTATATTTTAAATTCATTGAAAATTTAGTTGAAATTTAATCAGCTTAGAACTCAATCATTCAAACATCAATTATTATGAAAATCATTATCTATTATTAATGGATATTGATTAATCAATTGCACCTCAGTCTCTTAGTGCTGTCTTTTTCTCATCTTTTTTTTTTTTCGAAAATTTCAATTTTCAAATTATAGAATAGGTTGCAATTCCTAATATATATTTAATCAATTTTCTATTTTGTGCTAACCACACACTCCCATACGAACAGCCTTTATTGCTTTGGATTTAGATGGACTTATTTATGACTAAGACGGCATTAAGTACCTTGTATTCTGAGGCAAAATTTCATTCATGTTGACTGCTTGTTGTTGTAATATATTCGTTTCTTTCATTGCTTGTTCCTTAAATGAGGAGAATGTGTGGATCAGATTCTGATCCTTTTGAAGATGTTGAATATACTGGAGAAAATTAGGCTCTTGTTTCATGAAACCATCTTTCAGCATAAAACTTACTTCTTGTTTAGACATTTCAGAAGCTTTATCAAAAGATTCTTTTTGTTCCATGAAAAAAGAATCTTTCTTTGTTCTATTTCTCCTAATTCCTAAGTGTGTTTGAGTATGTTTATTCAAGTGATCCTTCCTAGAGAAGGCTTTTTGACATACTGAACATGAAAAATTCTTATCGCCAGAATGAATCACGTAATGCCTTGTTAAATGTTCGTTTCTCTTAAATGCTTTTTGACATACTGGACATTTAAATGGTCTTTCGTCCGAATGACCGCGCATATGTTGATCGAGATGCTCCTTTCGTTTTAACATTGCACCACATTCTTTACATTGATATTTGCGTTCCTATAAGATAAAAAGTTCATATTTATTTAATACATGTTTATTTATGTAATAAACAATACATACTTGTATATGAGCTTGTATATGTTGTTCAATTTCTGTCTTATCCGGAAATGCTAAATTACATTCTGGACAACAATAAAGTGTCGAACCATCTAAAGCAACACTGATTTTGATTTCTCCGGTTTTCGCTCGAAATTTCATTTTTTTCTCGGTCTTTGGCGAGTCTGTTTGTATTTGTTGTTCTACTTTAATAGTTTGCACTGTATTCTCGTTTTCTTGTTGGTTTTCTATTTGAACATTTAGATCATTCGGATTTATAGATACTAGCATTTGATCTGAGTTCATAAAGGTATTATTCCCATTCTGTAAATGAGTATTTCTAAATACTGGAACACTGGGAATGTTAAGAATATTATTTTGCGTGTGCTCCACTTTCTCCTCTTCAGTCTTTTCTTTCTTCACCTGTTCTGTTTGTAATTTAATCAACTGTTGTAATGTTAATGGAAGTGTAGTAGCTTGTAATTTTTGAAAATATTCTGCCATAGCACTTTGTTGTTGAAGTTGTGAATCTTGCTGAAATATTAATTTTTTATTACATAAAAATACATAAATATATTATANTAAAAAAAATCTATACCATTGTAGATATTTGTTTTCCATTTTCAGTTCTTGTTTCTAATTCTTGTTTTATAATTTCTGATTGTGAAGTTGATGGTAAATACATATTAGGTATAATCCTTACGGGTAAATTATTTGTCTGAACACTAAGTATTGGACTATTCTGATTGTAATTAGGAATGTTAATAGTTTGAATGCCTTGCTTTTCACAGAGTTGCATCAAAGTATTTGGATTTGGCCATGCTAATATTGGCCCCGTATATTTATTCGTTGAATTTATCTTTAAAAAAATGATAAATTAAATTATAAATATATTATAAATAAAAATAAAATAATAATAAATTTTACCAATAAACTTGATTTTGTTTGATTCGATACAGCAGCAGTTGTATAAACAGTTGTTTGTTCTACTTGAGTATTATCACTACTAGTAAATTTCGAAGTGGAAACTGTGCTTGAACGAGACGTTAACTCCGAAAATTGTGGGAGTGCACCGTGGATTATATTATTTCCAGAAAAATTCATTTTACCACAGATAAACGCGAAAGGTACGCGCGTTTGTGATTAAAGCATGCGAGCGTTTATAACCTATAATATCTCTTACATACAACGAATGAATAATATAGCTATTTCTATCTTTTTAATTTCATATTTCTCACATTATATAGAAATATAGACTAATATCGAAACAAAACATCGATAAAAAAAAACACAAGACTAATTAAATTAAAAAATATTTGTCAAGCGACGGTACATTGTAACGTACGCCGCGTCCTATGCGTTGTTCCAACATGGCTACATTAAAGTACTATTTCCAAAATTCTATTTTTATTTTTTCTCCGAATAAATATAATTTTTAAAATATTTTAAAAATATATAAAAATATCCTTTCCTATATAATTTAAAAAAATATATATGTTTTGATAAATTAATAAATCATTTTTATTTAATTAAAGACAAATTTCTAAAGAAAAATAATTTTTGTTATGATGGCTAGCCTGAATTATTTTCTGTTTACACTGGACGCTTGATAAACTTCAATTGATAAAATAAAAATAAACATCTTGGGATATTTTAAAACTAAAATAAACATAATATTGATAATCTAGGAAAGTTAAATATGTAAGAAAAGATAGTTAATAATATTAAAATGAACTTAAATGTATATAATTAAAAATTTTTAATAACATTATTCGATTTTGTTGATTTATTATTGTTTATTAATTTATTTTTAAATATGGTACAAAAGATATCTTATCAAATTTAATAATAAAATCTTAAAAAATAATTTTACTTGCCTTTGGACATTTAATTACAAATTTTTGTTTAATTAATAGGTAATATTTATTAAACATGTAATCATATGGGTGAAACTTTAAACGAACGAATAGATAATTTACGTAAACGAAGTAGATTTTTATTAGCAGAAGTAGATAAGAATTCTAAGAAAGTTAAAAACGAAATTAAAAAATTATATTCCCAAAATTTGTGAGTATTTAATGTTATATTTCATATTTATTATTAATATATTTATTAATTTATAAATTTCAATACATTTTTTTATAGGAAATGTAGAGAAGATTGTAAAAATCATGTTGGCAAAATAAATTCATCAAACATATGTTACAAAAAAAATAATAAATCCTGGAAATTAAGAAATGATTCTAGTGGAGTGAGTGGAGCTTTGCATTTAGATTATTTCTGTAATACCTCTAATCAAACGCTTACATCAATGCCCAACACAACGAATGCTTCAACAACAAAGAAAACATTAATATCTTCAAAAAATCATCCTAACAATCAACACTGTTTGGACATTCGCAGGAAACCAGTAAAAGGATGTTATTGCTCTGAATTAAAAAAAATACAACAAAAATCAACAAAAACACAAAGTAAATCATGTTCTTCTAGAAAATGCAAAAGTCATATTCTTCCTGCTATAGTAATAGAAGACAATTATGACAAGTCAACTATATCTACACCCATTAGTTGTGAAACATTGAGAAGAGTTCAAAAGATAGATTATGCACCCAAATCTCAATTTTTACGTAATGTCAGAAGCAAAATTTCTCTGCTGCAATCAGCAGCAGGTGATTGTCCACAAATCTGTTCTAGATCACAATGTTACCATGAACTTATGACCAAAAAAGATACATACATTCCAGACACTTATAAATGCATAGATCAATTGAAAACAGATAAAATTACTCATGATTTAACAAGATCAAAAATCAATGAAAAATATTCAAGTTCTGAAAAAAGTGATAAAGGAATTCAAGTATCTTTAAAAAAAAAATCAAAATCTCTTTCTTCAACCTCTATACCTTGTGTACCTAGTATATGTAATATAAAAAAAACAGAAGATAAAATATGTCAATGTCAGAAAGAAAATTCAAAAGATTCCAAAAATGATTTAGAAAAGAAGGATAATGCTGATTCAGAAAAATGTGAAAAAAAATTTTTAAAAAAATCATTAGATGAAATTGAACAGAAACATCTTTCTGATAAAGAAATGAGAGATTTAAGTAAATTTCGTGAAAAAAATTACTTTGACACGCACGGATCTAGTGATATTTTAGTATCATCTAAATCTTCTGGTTCCTTGGAACAATATTTCTTAAATGACAGATTATTTCCTGAACGATCAAGAAACATTCATAAGAAAGATTTGGTTGTAACAATGCCACCTTGCGTTACTACGCAACTAAAACGAATACATTATTTCCCTAGATATATCGTTCATCAAGAAAAAAATAATTTTAATACAATTGGCAAAAAGAAACGTTGTCAAACTTGCCCTTTGACTGGCCATGCCATAGATCTTGGTATTACAAAAATGAAAGTACCTTTGAATAGTTTAGCCCTTAAATATCAAAAACGATTATCTTAATAAAAAAAAATTACTTTTTTATTGCAATAAATAACACTAGAAAGGAATAAAGTAAATGAAAATCCTAATAATTTAATTATATCTTTTTTTTTTAACATCAACACAGAATTCTAGAAAATCCATTCCATTTACTTTATTCCAAATTTTTAATTTTGTATATATTTTTGAATAATATAAATTATAATAATTAAATCAACCTCACATATTTTTACTCAAAACACAGCATGCTGTGATTGAGATTAATAATCACATTTATAATAACACTCATAATCATTGAGATTATTAATGTCTTGTAAAATGTATTTTACAGTTAAGTTTCATATAAAACTCTCGATACGTGATATGATATTTAATAACATGATTTAAACAAATATTTGAGATTGTTATATGCTTTTTACTTTCATAAAAAAAAAAATAAATAGTGATATATGGTATGGTATATTTCATGGTGTGCGTTATCTTATATACATGAGTAGAAATCATCATTTTTTTTGTTGGATCTGATGATTCCCGCAATCTAATAAGTCAATAATCTATAATGAATTCAAATCGAATGAAAATTTCTTTTAAATAAAAGATATGAAATTGTGATGCAATTTGAAATACTATTAAGCAGCATTATTTGATAGATTTTTTTCTTTTAACAATGATATAGAAAATATTATTATACAATGTTTATCATCAATTTTTATAAATATTTATTTGTAATATTATGACTCTATTTCTTGAAATAGAGGCAATAGATCAATAAAATATAATTTTTTTAATGATTTATATAATTTTTGATTTTAAATATATTATATTATTTGTATGATTTTTATATATATAATATTAATAATTGATATAAAAATAAATATTTTTATTAAATTCAGATGGAATAAAAAAAAATGAAATTATAAATAAATTTAGTAAGGTATACGTAATGATTGGTTCATCTACTTTTCACTATCCTTCATTTTTTTTTTATCGTTTATAAATGGATAAAATTTCTTCGATTAATTATGGATTTTAAAAAATAAAGAGAAAGGTTAAATTATAAGACTTAAATTATGATGAAAGAAAATTGTTAAGATTGCAAAATTAAAAAAAAACTATTCAATTTGCTGATTAAAAAATAAGTAAAAAGAATCAACATTCTTTAATTTTTATATAGAAAACTAATAATTTTCTATTTTAAATAAAACAATATATTGAAATTGTTCGAAACATTATAAAATCATTCGAAAAATATTTAAATATTAATATTTTTTTTTAAATTATACGATATGTATAATAATAATAAAAAAATTGTTTTATTATTAAAATATTCTTAAAATTGTTTAATTTGGAACTATTAAACAAAAACTAAAACTTGAATCAAATTTAATGCTTTTAAATTTATAATTAAACATAATGGCACGTTAAATTATAATAATAAAGAATTTCGACCACGGTATAAATAATTAAATATTCGTTTGTAAAATAGTGAACTTGTAATCGTTGATTTATTAAATGTCGATTTCAACAAGAGATTAGCGTGGAAGGAATGCCTTTCACACGTAAAATGTAATTTCACATTTTCTCAAAGAATAAAAAGTTAAAAAATAATTAAGCGCTTATCTTAAGAATTTATTGAAGATTTAAAGTTTCAGAAGTTTGTATAATGATTTTTAAAAAAAATAAATTTTAACCAAAGATAATTCTATATACGAAAAAAGCAAAATTCAAAAAAATCAAATTATATTATTGATAATCAAGTGATAATCATTTCATAAAATAAACAATGAATTGATAATTTTCAGTTAAACAAAAAATAAAAATAAAAGTAATTTATCATTTTATAATTTTTTTTCTTTTACTTTTAGATAGGTTATAAGAAACAATGCATATTATTGTATAAATTAAAAATAAAATGTTCGTATTCATTTTCTCGTACTCATCACGATAAATACTTTCAACAAACGCTTCATCTGGTTAGAAAATAAAAAAAATGAAACGAGAAGTGCACTTAAAACTGGTTACCCTTGGTTGGATATTATTAAACTTATTTTTCTGTCTAAAGACTATCTTTTTATTTCTCATATATACTTTATCGATATTTTATCAATTATTTATTAAAAAAAAATGGAATAAAAATAAAATAAAATTTAAATTTTATGCTATAAAATACTATTTTAATATCATCTAATGAATATTCATTTTTTCATAAATTATTGATTCATTTCCACTTTTATTTACTTTTTTTTATTTATTCATGACCTTATAAGTAAATATTTATTTAAATTCTTGATGAAAATTCAAGGAGGTCCGTTGAAATTTGATGAGATCAAAGAAAGCAATGAACGAAATAAGTAGAATAAATTCTTCCTAATAAGCATGATGAAATAAATAAAGAAATAAATTAAGCGTTTCAAGTAAAAATATTATATTGGATAATAATTTATCTTGTCATTTCCAACAAAGAAAAAATTAAATTAAATAATATTCATCTTTTCCCAGAATTCTTTTACTTCCTTATGCAAAAATTTGTTTGCATTAATGAAAAAATATATAGACATTTTAAATAATTGTTAATAAACCTTACCTAACATTCTTATGAAACATAATTGTATTTTGAACTCGATTCAAAGTACAATTATAAATTGTATGATAAATTATAATTGTAACGATAAATTATAAATTGTAAGTAAAAAATCAATTTTCTATCATTATTCCAGTTTTCCTTTTTTTTTTCTTTTTTTTTTTTTTTTTTACTCTTAATGTCTTCATCTTAAATCAAAAAAATTTAATATTTATCTACTGGTATGAGTTTTTATTAGATATTTGAAAATTAATTAGGAACATTAATTATGACATTATTCTATTCTAAATTAAAAATTGCTAAAAAAATAATATTCATATAAAAAAGGATGAGACTCCATATTGCATTTCAAATAATGTAAATCGATTATCCTACTTATAATTTCAAATGAATTACGTCGAATTACGTCACTGATATGTGATTTTTTATTACGATTTATCTATTATCCATTATTATTTCAGTTTATTCATACATTGATCGTAAAATTATCAATAAACTTACATGCTATTACACTTTTATTTTTTATTTTTCATTTATTTTTCTTTCATTTTATAATTACTATTATTTTGATTTTATTATTTACATTGATCTACAATAAAATCATATTTTATTTATATTGAAAACTACTCAAAAGATCATAAACAGTATAAACAAAATTTAAAAAAACATAATCGAAAAAAATTATTATGAATTGATAAATTATAAATTGTATTTAAATTTTTTAATTGTATGCAATTTTGTCATTAGTTAAATAATTCATAGAATTTTATTAATTCATAGAAATTTATTAAACTTCCTTCAAGATCTTGTAGTGTTATTAATTATCAATATTAATGACACATTCATTTTTCCAACATGTTTTTTGCTTTTGCATTATAATGTATTAAGTGCTATTGAAATTCAATTAAAACTTCTGACGTATTATGTTAACGTATCATAAAACATATCGTTTAATATAGAATATAAATAAAATTAAGAGATTTAACGAGAAAACGGTTTAATGCAAATGATTGATTAGCATCTCTTTGTAAACGCGAAAAAAAACGAGAATCTATTAATATATGATTGGATGATGGTAATATATGATTGGATGATGGTATTATTCAAATTTTAAAAATTCATCATAATTTTAATAGATAAAAAAATTATCATAATATATATTATATAGAATATTTTTAAACATTTTTTTTTTTCAAAATATATTGCTTTATATACAATTATAATACAATTATAATAATCAATGATGATAATTATCTCATAATATCTCATAATCTTTTGATAATAATAATAATAATAATAACAAAAGAAAATAAAAAGTAGCTATACAACAAGTATTTCTGAAATCTTGTATTTAATGTGTTTTATTCATAGTCGGCAAGATAATTTTGAGATCAATGAACCTCGAAGCACTTTTTTATGACCTTGAACGCTTAACCTTGTCAGACGTTCTCAGTCATCTTCAAGAAAGCCATAATAATATTTAATCCGTTCATTTATCGTCAATGTCATGTAGGGTACAACTGTTCAATGTTAGATCATAATTTAATCATAATCGACGATCTCGCAATGAGGATAATAGGTTTCGTTTCGCGCCAAAAATCGAAGAATCGAACGGTGAATCGATCGGTCGCTCTACGTTATAAAAATATAGATTTAGATCTTGGCTAATAATTTCATTTGAGTCAATGTCATTTGAATTTTAACTGAATCGAGACAAGAACGATCATATAAGATGAGGAGATTAATTCTTAACGATATATTACGAGATAAATTATAATTTATGAATAGAACAACGATTTTATGCGATGAAGAAATGATTTTACAATGATTTTAGAATGGAAAAACAAGTTTTAATAGTGAGGAGGGAATAATTTTCAACTTGTAAGAATAATTATGGAATGGAGGATAAAGAAAAGATATAGTAAATTTGCGAATAAATTGATTTTAAGTAATAAAAAAAAATTATTTTAAATGCTAAAAAAGTTCATGAAATAATGATTTCAAATGGAATGATTTTATGAGATGAAGAAACGCTTTAGAATATTTATATAAAAGGATAATTTTACTTTATTATGAATAATAAGAAAATAAAAATATGAAAAATTTTAAATTTAGATAAATGGATTTAGAATTCGCTAATGAAATAATGAATAATTTTAATCGATGATAACACAATATGTAATAATTAGCATAGAAAGATGATTTTAAACAATGAAGAAGTAATTTATGCTCTATAATTAGTAAATTTTGAAGAGTGATCCTACGTGACGAGAAGCACGCTGCATTTAGGGAACAAAAATTAAAATTCTATTAAAACCTATCAAACTATTGAAATGAAATCCTACTAGTGATATTATCTTTCCAATGAAGTACCTCATTATGAATCTTTATATATATATTTCCTCCTTAATGTATCTTGTTGATGAAAATAACTTAAATATACTTGATTATCAAATTTTTTGAATAATTTTAAAAAAATATTTATTTACATTGAATTTAAATATTATGTATAATTAATTAAAATACTATAATTAACCTATATTCAAACATTAACAATATTTTCACAATATTTTTTTAACAAATTTCCATGTTTTATGTAGATATAATTATATATGATATAATTTTTTTTTTTTATTCGATGCAAATTTAAATAACTATCAACAGCGTTATAGTGTTTGTCTAAATCTCCTTATTGTTTTGTTTGTTCTCTTAAATGATTCATTTTGAACGTTTATACCTCTAGACCATTTATGAGATTTTCTTTCGGATCTTTTATTTAAAATTCCGATGCAAGAAAAACTTTTATTTCATTATTTTGTTTAATTTAAATTCCGTGAATGAGATTAACATTGTTATTTATTTGTATTTTATATTATTTTTTTTTATATTAACAGAATTTTCATTAAAAAAATTATTAATTTCCTTTTGTGCTATGTTGTCATAAAAATTCTTTTAAAAATGATATTTATAAAAATTAGTAATATATTTATTTTATATTATAGAGGAATTGTTTTAATTAAAAAACGACAAGAAAATC